TCCCAAGAGTGTGAAAGGCGAGGCTGCTGATCCACAATATCCAGCGAGGAGACACGGCGAGGGAGCTGTGTCTTATTGTTCAGTAAAGGGAGGCCGCGTTCCTCCCTGCAGGGCGGAGGGGGGCTGCGCTCCCTTGCTCCGGCAGTAACGTGCAGAGGTGGTGGGGCCAAACTGTCCTCGCTGAAATCCGGCATGGAGGCCTGCTGCTAAGCACGCAGCCATGGAGGAGTGTGGACAGGAGAAGAAGGAGAATCATCTTCCAGCTCTTCCAGAATCGTGAATCTGTTGCTCATTTGCAGATTTTGAGGTAATGGGTGGTGCGCAGAACGCCTACCACCGCAGACCACAGACCACGGCTTTGTTTGATACGGGGAGGGGCAGCTCATTCCCTTCGGTCTCGCCCCCAGCCGAGGCCAAGGATCTTCAACCTGGGCTGGAGCAGCCAAGACGCTGGCATCAATAACCGAGGCAGTAGCGTTAGCCTGGCTGACACCAACATAGAGTCCAGCAGTTCCTCGTCATCTTTAATTTGATAAAGCACTGAGATCCTGCCTTCCAGTTCAGTAATACTTTGGGTCAGACGGGCACAGCCGGCACAAAGCAAAGGTTAAAAACAGTTCAGCTAGACTAAAAACAAAACTCCCGTTCTCTGACATGCTCACTATCTCTTGCTCTCAGACGTGCTGACGTGTTTCATACCTGCATTTGGTGGGTGCTTCTTCCTTGTGGGTTCACTCAGGCTTTCTGCAGCTTAAGGCTTGATCTCTCTGGTGTGATAGAAGAAAAGAACTCTAAAAAGGACTGAAATAATAAAACATTGAATAGACATTTGATTAGTATGTCATGTATGTGTAAATAAAGCATTCTCGGTCACCCGCAGTGGTGTTTGTGTCTCTGAGGCCTCTTCGAGTTCCAGGTCAGTGTTTCTTGCCCCCTCCCCCCAGCATCAGCCACACTTGATGCTATTATAGCTACCTGCAAATAGAGACATAGACCACATAGATGTTTCACAATCATGAGATCACATCTTATTTTCTTATGAGGGCCAGAGAGAACAACAAGCAAGACCACAGAAAGGAGACTTGGGGAAAAAAAACAAAAAAAAAACACAAGAGGCAGAAAAGTACATGAGGTCAGAGCAGCCTGAGATGGTTTTAGTTCTCATGCTTTAAACTATCAAAGTGTAAGAACTGCTTTAACACCTTTTTGAGAGAAAAGATGGTCTACAATATCAAATCAGCATAACTGCTGAGAAATAGCTACATTGTCATATGTTTTGTGTATACATAATGCAGTTTTGACACTCAGAAATAAAGGTATGAAACTGTCAGCAGTACCCCTCTCATCACTGCAGGGCAGTCTGACAGGTCAGAGAACATAATTGCACCATAATCCATTGATATTATATTTTCTAAGATGTATTGACTCCACATACCTCATCTCCAGCCTTTTTTTTGTCTTCTATTTTATTGTTCTGTTGCCAAAACACATGAAAGGTACAAAATTGGACCTTAAAACCATGGTTTTACCTTTGAGGGTACATTTACATTGTTTGTACATTGATGGATGAAAAATGTTCCTGCACAGGACCTTTATTTCTAACAGCATAATGCACGTCAAAATGGTAGATCAAAGTTCTGCTCTGCTGGTCGGCAGCAATAGAAGTTACTATGCTGCTCACCAGCAAAACCAGCATATCGCTGTTGTCAGAAAAAAACTTGTATCTCCATTTTTGATGTTTTTCAGTTTTTGACATAATTGAAAAAATGCCTGTTACCCTTTACATTGTGTGTAAATTTCATGTTGAATGGACTAAAAGAAATGACCCAAAATGACTTGGAAAAAAGTCTGGTTGCATTGACTTACACTAAAAGTAAAGTATGTTTTTTCCTTCTCCTGTAAAGTTATCATTTTGGAGATATGAGATTTTCTTCTGACAACAGTGATATGCTGTGTTTTAGATGCAAGTTTGGTGCTCAACAGGCATTACATCATGGATGACTTGCTAATCCAGCATCAAACCAGCAACAGACCAGCATAAACCAGCTCAGACCAGCTTAGAATATTAATGCTAGTCTGTGCTGAAAGAAGTGAAGTGTGCATGATGTTTCTATATTTGTCTGTTTCTTGTGTCCACTTGCATGTACTGTGACATGAAGTGCTGCAAAACAGGAAACAGTAACTCTTCTTATGACTCAGAGTCCACCATGTCACTGTGTGTGGTTTCCATTTCTGAAGAAGCTGCTGATGAATTCTCTAAAAGACAGAAGAGTTCCGGTCTAGCTGATTTAAACACAGCTCCTGTGAGCTGCACGGACATTAGAGTGGGTTAGACTCCAGTGAAGAGCTGCTGAGAGAGCTGTGTACTCAGTGTGGTATACAGGGCTAGTGTAGTGCTGGGTGTGGAGCTGTCAGTGTGCTGTGAACTCAGTGTTGTTTTACTAGTGAGGATGTTGCTGACTTTTTATCTTCTCTTCACTGGGCTACAAGTCTCTGAAGGTGAGTGATTTTTTATCATATTACTGAGATACTGATGTCTGGAAAATCTAAATACATGAGCCAGTCAAATTGCAATTAGCATGAACTCCATTTTTGATGTTGAACATGCAATATATTTAAACATAGCATTACAGGTCCTAATAGTAGATAAAGAGAAACAAATTTAAAAAATGAGGCAAAATAGAAGAATGACCTATGGGTTTAGGGTTGTTGTCTTGCTGCATGACCCACTTTCAGCTCACGGACAGATGTCCTGATATTTTCCTTTAGAATTTGCTGGTAAAATTCAGAGTTCATTGTTCCATCAATGACGGAAAGCTGTTCTGGCCCAGATGCAGCAAAAGAGGCCCAAACCATGATACTACCACCACCGTGTTTCACAGATGGGATTAGGATTTTATGCTGCAATACAGTATTTTCCTTTCTCCTAACATAACACTTTTCATTCAAACCAAAAATATCTATTTTGGCCTGCTGGCTTGTCCATGTGATGTTTAGCAAACTGCAAAATATTGAAAAATATTTGCCCATTTTTAATTTGAAGCCAACAACACTTTCCAAAAAAATTGGGACGGGGCATGTTTACCACTGTGTTTCATAACCTCTTCTTTTAATAACATTTTGTAAGCATTTGGGAACTGAGGAGACTGCTATAGTTTTGAAAGTGAAATGTTTTCCCATTCTTGCTTGATATAGGATGTCAGCTGCTTAACAGTTCAGGGTCTCCTTTGTCGTATTTTTTATTCCATAACCCTCCAAATGTTTTCAGTGGTGACAGGTCTGCACTGCAGGCAGGTCAGTTTAGCACCTGAACTCTTTCACTATGGAGCAATGCTGTTGTAAAATGAGCAGAATGTAGTTTGGCATTGTCTTGCTGAAATAATCAAGGCTTTCCCTGAAAAAGACATCATCTGGATGGCAGCATATGTTGCCAAAATATGTATATATCATTCAGCATTAACGGTGCCTTCACAGATGTACACGTCACCCATGCCATACGCACAAATGTCCCCCTACACCATCATGAATACTGGCTTTTGAACTGTGCACTGATAACAAGCTGAGTGGTCTTTAGCCTGGAGGACACAGTGTCCATGATTTCCAAAAAGAATTTCAAATTTTGATTCGTTGGACCACAGGACACTTTTCCACTTCCCCTCTGTCCATTTTAAATGAGCTCAGGCCCGGAAAAGGTGGCAGCGTTTATGAATCCTGTTTGTATATATTTTTTTCTTTGTGTTTTAGATTTTTAACTTGCATTTGTGGATGCAGCGACAAACTGTTTTCACAGACAGTGTTTTTCAGAAGTGAGTCCATGCAGAGATTTCCACTACAGAATCATGTCTGTTTTTAATGTAGTGCTGCCTAAAGGGGCCTAAAGATCACAGCCAGAAAATAGTGGTTTTTGGCCTTGTCCCTTACATGCAGAGATTTCTCTGATTCTCTGAATCTTTTAATGATATTATGTACTGTAGATGATGAAAAGCAAAAGAAAAGTTCTTTGCTATTTTATGTTGAGAAATGTTATTCTTGAATTGTTGCACTATTGGATTGTGCAGTCTTTCACAGAGTGGTGAACCCCTCCTCATCCTTACTTCTGAAAGACTCAGCCTCTCTGGGATGCTTTTTTAATATGCAATCATGTTACTGACCTGTTGCCAGTCAACCACCAGGCGTTTTTTAGCATTACACAACTTTACCAGATTTTTGTTGCCGCTGTCCCGACTTGGAACCTGTTGTTGGCACCAATTCAAAATTGGCATATATTTTTTCAATAAACCATAAAATTTCTCAGTTTCAACATTTGATGTGCAGTTTTTAAACTATTTTCAATAAAATATAGCATTTATATGATTTGCAGATCATTAAATTTTGTTTTTATTTACATTTTACACAGTGTCACAACTTTTTTGGAAGTGGGGTTGTACTATTAGTACTTGTGTGTAAAAGTTTTATGTCAAATTTAGGCAAAAATATAGAAAATTCTAAAGGGTTCACAAACTTTTAAGCACCACTGCAAGTTCATGAAATGAACGTTTTTTTCCAAGTCATTACAGAACACTTCTGCTGGTTTATACATCATAAAATTTGGTACAATTTAAAGGTGAGCTGCTGGATTTAAATGATGCAGAAAAAACAAAATTTAAAAAATGGAGATGCATAACAGCAAAAATAGGCATCACATTTTATTTTTTCTTAAAAATATTTGTTTATTTGATTTACATTAAAAAAGTGATAATCATCCAAAGTTGAGGGTTGAATTTACACATTTAATCCCTTAACAGGCCAGGGTCTGTCAGCGGGTCCAAAGTTATACACACACGTATAACCTAAGAATATCTCAAGCAGTTTGCATTGAAGTCTCTGTAGTTACAGAATAATAAGGCTTAGTATGTAATAAACCTTATGTAATAAAGATTTTGAGGGTTTAAATACCGCAATCACTATTTCATATAAAGAGTATACAATTAATCTGATCTTACTGATGTGTGTTTCTACAGGCTGCCCTCTGGAGAACTGGGGAAAACTACTGAGTATCACAGCACATACAGGATGGTCAGTACTGCTGCCCTGCTACTGCACTGACCTACACAACAAACCTGAGGGATTCAGCTGGAAGAAATACGACAGACACAGAGACAAATGGGACGAGATATCCATTGAGAGTGGTCAGTACAGAAACAGAGTTCAGCTGGTTAATGGTCACTCTCCAGGAAATCTCTCTCTACTCATATCACACCTGACTGAAGAGGATGGAGGACTGTACATCTGTGCTGTTAGAGATTCATATATAATCTTCAGACTCACTGTAAAAGGTAAAACACTGTCTCATATTGTTATATTTGGTGCTTTATAGTACATAAGCTTCTTAGTACAGACAACAAACCCTTCATGATTTTAGGTATTTCACCCTCTCATCACTGTTCACCAAATGTTCACCCATGCTTAAATTATATTTACTTGTTTTTCTAAGCGAATATGCATTCACACATCCCCAGTGAACACACTTCTGCACAATAAACAATACACAATTACTGTTTATTTGAGAAATTAAATATTGGTAGAAAATTAGAACATGAATTATTGCCTGTGTAAATGTCAAGACACATTTTATATTTTGTTTTATTTCTTTGCAATAAGTTTAACTAAAAGTTTATGTGGAAGACATGTTCATGTTGAAAATAAAGAAAACCTAATTTGATGAAGGGCATTCAAACATCAGAAAAGGTGTTTTAATATATGCCCAGTTTGAATTCAATGCCAACAACACGTTTAAACAGTTGGGAGAGAGGCAACAAAATGCTATAATAAGAAGTTGTGTAATACTAAAAAAAAAACACCTGGTGGTTGATTGGCAACAGGTCAGTAACATGATTGGGTATAAAAGAGCAGCCCAGAGAGGCTGAGTCTTTCAGAAGTGAAGATGAGGAGGGGTTCACCACCCTGTGAAAGACTGCACAATCCAATAGTGCAACAATTCAAGAATAACATTTCTCAATGTAAAATAGCAAAGAACTTTTGCTTTTCATCATCTATGGTACTTAATAACATTAAAAGATTCAGAGAATCTGGAGAAATCTCTGCATGTAAGGGACAAGGCCAAAAACCAGTATTTTCTGGCTGTGATCTTCAGGCCCCTTTAGGCAGCACTGCATTAAAAACAGACATGATTCTGTAGTGGAAATCTCTGCATGGACTCTCTATGAAAACAGTTTGTCGCTGCATCCACAAATGCAAGTTAAAAATCTAAAACGCAAAGAAAAAAAAATATATAAACAGGATCCATAAATGCTGCCACCTTTTCTGGGCCTGAGCTCATTTAAAATGGACAGAGGGGAAGTGGAAAAGTGTCCTGTGGTCCAACTAATCAAAATTTGAAATTTTTTGGAAATCATGGACGCTGTGTCCCCCGGGCTAAAGACCACTCAGCTTGTTATCAGTGCACAGTTCAAAAGCCAGTATTCATGATGGTATGGGGGGGTATTAGTGCGCATGGCATGGGTGACGTGTACATCTGTAAAGGCACCATTAATGCTGAATGATATATACATGTTTTGGCAACATATGCTGCCATCCAGATGATGTCTTTTTCAGGGAAGACCTTGCTTATTTCAGCAAGACAATGTAAAACCACATTCTGCATGTATTACAACAGCATTGCTCTGTACTGAAAGAGTCCAGGTGCTAAACTGCCCTGCCTGCAGTCCAGACCTGTCACCACTGATAACATTTGGAGGGTTATGAAATAAAAAATACGACAAAGGAGACCCTGAACTGATAAGCAGCTGACATCCTATATCAATGAAGAACAGGAAAACATTTCACTTTCAAAACTATAGCAGTGTCTCCTCAGTTCCCAAACACTTACAGAGTGCTGTTAAAAGAAGAGTTGATGAAACACAGTGGTAAACAGGCCCCCGTCTCAACTTTTTTAGAATGTGCTGTTGGCATCAAATTCAAAATCGGCATTTATTTTTCAAAAAAACAATAAAATTTCTTAGTTTCAACATTGGATTTGTTGTCTTTGTAGTATTTTCCTTTAAAAATATGGTTTACATGATTTGAATATCATTGCATTCTGTTTTCATTTACATTCTGCACAGCATCCCAAAGTTTTGGAAATGGGGTTGTATTTACAAACACTGAAGTCCAAATATTTTATTCAAATATAAGGTTCAAATATTTTGTTTTTGTACCTTTTTTAAATTAAATACAGATGAAAAGAAAATAATACTAATCACTGCTTTCTGTTTTTTTGTTTTTTTTTGCGTTTCACAAACTGTTCCAGCTTTTTGTAATTGCATTTGCACAATAAAAACGTATTATTGTTACTGTGTATCTACAGTGAGCTGTCCACTGATGTTCTGTTTCTGCACTGACTATCAAACTCTTCTCTCTCTACAGAGGATCCACTTAAAACTACAACACCTACTGCAGTGGACAATGAACACACCAGTCCAACCACTTCAATCACACATTCCTCTCAAACGCCTGATGGTAAGTTCAGCACACTGACTGCAGCTGAAAGTAAAATGTTACAGCTTTGCCGTGATTTTGTGGAAATTGTTTATGTTCAATAAATGTTTTTCAGAATAATCAAAATTCATCACCACTTCTCAATGTTCAGTTGTTACATTCTGCAATAAAAACACCCTTTATCATATCAGTTAGAGTGTGTATCATTTAATTTCAATGTGGTTGTGACGCTGGTTTGGAATTATCTAATTGAGTGGACCAGAGGACACAATATGGCAACAGCTGCATTTTGACTTTGATTTTGATTTTGACTCACACCTCTTTTATTGTATGAACATAAATCATGTTGCCGAAAGCATGTAGACACTTCATCACACCTACATGAACTTGTTGGGCATCCCATTCCAAAATCATGTGCATCAATATGGTGATGCCCCTCCACATTTACAGGTCTAACAGCCTCTTCTGTGAAGATTTTACACAAGATTTTGGAGTGTGTCTGTGGAAATTTGTGGACATTCGGGCAAATGCACTGTGCATTACTGTAGGCAGCATTATGTACATCTTAAAAACGTATAGAACAGTGGATAGAAAACAATTTTTGGCTAGTAAATAAAGTGAATTCATCACCCAAATCAAACCTTTATTTAATTCAAGTAACTACAATGAGCCTGATTGTGTTTATCTAATAGACCTTTTAATTAGTGACTACAAATCTGAACAATCTATTAAACCTCTTACTGAGTAATTTGCATTACATTTAGACCAATTATATGGTCTTCAACATCTTTAATTTGTTTTCATCTCAAAACTAAATTTGGTCTGAGCTTAGTCTACATGGTTTTGCCAATACACACTGTGGTGTGACTGTTTTGAATTACAGACATCACAATGAATTTCTCTTCTGATACATTACAATAAATATCTTTAATGTCACTGTGTATCTGCTGTGAGCCGACTGCTGCTGATCTGTTCCTGCACTGACTTTCAGACCTTTCTCTACAGAGGATCCACCAAAAACTACAACATCAACTACAGAGGTCAACTCCCTAATTAGTTCCAGCATATCAACCACAGCAGCTTCTCAAGAGATTAATGGTAAACACAGCTAAAATAATGCAGTGAAACTCTCACCAACACACACTCATTTCATTTAGAATGTCTGTAGAGATGAAAACATTGCTCAAACTGAACATATGAGCTTTGATCTGAAGAGAAATCATAATTTTTTTATTAGGTTATGTAAATGAACACATGAAGCTTAATTAAAGTGTTATTGCTGTGAGATAAAATGAATAATATGATCCACTTCTTGTTGTAGAATCTACACAGTCTCTGCCCTTTGTCCCCTTTGCCTTGGTGACTGTGATCTTCCTCCACATTATAGTAGCTGTGGTTTATCACACCAAGAGAAACAAAGGTACAAACTACACAATCAAGCTGTTCTAATAAAACAAGTTTACTTGTATATGTTAATTTATGCAGTATTTTGTCTATTTCTGTCAGATCCTGCCAGAGTTCACTACAGCACTGCTAATAGAGATGAGTGTTCAGTCTGGAGTAGTGCAGTCCTGCAACACTGGCATGAATTCACAATAGGGCAGCCAAATATTTTAGAACTTCTAATATTCTGTTCATAGAGGGGCAAAATATACATGTTGAAAACAATCTTTTTGCACTTCTACTGCTTTTCTGTTTTTGTAACTTACACTATATTGCCAAAAGTATTCGCTCGTCTGCCTTCACACGCATATGAACTTGAGTAACATCACATTCTTAAGCCATGGGGCTTAATATGATGTCGGCCCACCCTTTGCAGCTATAACAGCTTCAACTCTTCTGGGAAGGCTTTCCACAAGGTTTAGGAGTGTGTTTATGGGAATTTTTGACCATTCTTCCAGAAGCACATTTGTGAGGTCAGACACTGATGTTGGACGAGAAGGCCTGGCTCGCAGTCTCCGCACTAATTCATCCCAAACGTGTTCTATCGGGTTGAGGTCAGGACTCTGTGCAGGCCAGTCAAGTTCTTCCACACCAAACTTGCTCATCCATGTCTTTATGGACCTTGCTTTGTGCACTGGTGCGCAGTCATGTTGGAACAGGAAGGGGCCAAACTCCCCAAACTGTTCCCACAAAGTTGGGAGCATGAGATTGTCCAAAATCTCTTGTTCTGCTGAAGCATTAAGAGTCCCTTTCACTGGAACTAAGGGGCCGAGCCCAACTCCTGAAAAACAACCCCACACCATAATCCCCCCTCCACCAAACTTTACACTTGGCACAATGCGGTCAGACAAGTACCGTTCTCCTGGCAGCTACTCAGCCATTAAATGAAGCATTCCATGAACCTCTCTACTCTGTTCTTGAGCTAATCTGAAGGCCAAATGAAGTTTTGAGGTCTGTAGTGATTGACTCTACAGAAAGTCCGCTGACCTCGCTCTGTCATTTTACGTGGCCTACCACCTCGTGGCTGAGTTGCTGTCATTCCCAATCGCTTCCACTTCATTATAATACCACTGAGAGTTGACTGTGGAATATTTAGTAGTGAGGAAATTTCATGACTGGACTTGTTGCGCAGGTGGCATCCAATCACTGTACCACGCTAGAATTCACTGAGCTCCTGAGAGTGACCCATTCTTTCACAAATGTTTGTAGAAGCAGTCTGCATGCCTAGGTGCTTGGTTTTATTCACCTGTGGCCATGGAAGTGATTAGAACACCTGAATTCAATGATCTGGATAGGTGAGTGAATACTTTTGGCAATACAGTCTATTTATTTGATATAATATCAAGTAAAAGCAAG